AATTTACCTGACTTTCTTTTTCTAATGTTTATTTCATCGCTTATAACTTTTTCACTAATAAAGATACATTTGATTTCATTATGTTCTTTAATGTCTGATTGAAATGAAAAATTTTTACAATATTTTTATTTTTATAAAAATTATAAGCAATTAATGTGAGTACGCTAAACTCAATGTGTCTTTCCATAATGTAGCATAGGAGAGTCAGTATTGAAACTGGAAATTAAAATCTATCCATTCCACACACTAAAGATAAAATTGTTCAGCTAGCAATACCATAACTGCGAATATATATACATATATAATTTAATAAAATTCACCCAATTAAATTCCTAAAAAAATATAAGGCATACCTTAAAGCTATCACCTTCCCAACTATGACTGCCGCTCCTTTTGATCCCATGACCTTGACTAACGTAATGAGTGCTCTGGTCCGTACCGTTGACCTTCTCCGTCTTGATGCGCGAGTCTTTTAGCTTGTCACTGTTCTTGATGCTGGAGCGTAGCTCCCGATGCTTCTGCATCATCATCTTCTCCATATCTTCGTTGTGGCGATTCAACAGCAACTCCGTCAGCGTAGGTGACTTGAAGCTCTCCGTCGCAGTGGTGTTGCTGTTGCTGGCGGTGTTGGATGCGTCACCCCGACTTGCAGAGCTTGTTTGATTGTTGGAACCACTGCTCAGGTTCTCTGCGCTACCGCTGCCGCTCGCCCCGCTTCCGTTTATCGGCGACATACACTTTCGCGCTGAAAACACAACAAAAATTTGTCTTTATGAAATACATATCACTTATATTTACTACAGCAACGACACGACTCAAAAAATGAAGTTTCCAGAAAATGAATTTCAATATTTTGAATTTTTTAAATTTTATAATACTAATTTTGAGGTGCAATTTTGATGTAATAATTAATTGTTATAAAGGAATGAAAGTATATTCTTGTTTTTCTTTTGATTTCCGTTCTTTTTCTGTAAATAACTAAAAAAATGGCAATTTTCGAGTTATGTTATTATGTAGCAAATAAACAATATGCAAGGAAAGGATAGTTTTTTGCAGCATTGCTTGCAATCATGCTTGAAATTCTTATACACGTAGTTATTTCGATGGTCAATTAAATTATCAGGGTTGCCACAAAAAATGAATTTAAAAATTCCTTGACTTTTCCAAGTTTTCGAGATAAAAATTTTTTTAATATAAGATATATTAATTTTAACACATTTAGAATAAAGGATTGTAGGAAAAAGCTAGCCTATATTTTAAAAGCTAGCCTATTATTAAAAACAACGCAAAAAAGGCTTGATGGCATAAAAAAATTTTGAGTGCAAATTCAAGCCAACAAAAAATAAATTGGAAAAAAGAATGCAATTATGAAAAAGGACGATCAAATAAAAATATTAAATAAAATATAAATTTTAATTATTTTATTAAAACCGTTTAAAACGCGCGAGTTTTGAACATATTTGACTATAAACGTAAGATATAAGATTTACAAAATTATAACAATTATTTGGGATAGGAGCAGTTTAAGGAAATTGTAAGCAATTTTCAAAGTTCCAGTCTTTTTTACATTTTCCCCTGACTTTTCTCAGTTTTTCATGACCAATTTTAATTTCCCTAACTCCGGTTTTCTAGGTCTGTGGCAACCCTAATTATTTTTAGATTTGTATTTACAATTAGTTAACTTTTTAAATACTTTAGGGAAATTGCTCTTTCTGTGTGTTTTTAACTAACTCGATGCAAGATACGGTTGAATGATTAAGATAACGCTTACCGCCTTCGTCGTTGCTGGAATTGACGTTCTCTTCATCGCTGCCGTACATGGTCGCAACTGAGGGTTTGCTTTTGAAAAAGCGCTCAAGATTCTCGTTGTAGTTGAGCTGATTGTAGCTCGGCGGTGTTTCCGTGGAGGACTTGCTGTCGTAGTCCTCGTGATGGGGCGAGATCTCACCGAGCATCACGCTGTCGTGCTCCTGCAACAAGGGATTTCGTGATCCCTTCACAAGTATATTGTAGAGACTTAGAGTGAGTTGTCACTGAGGATCAGTATTGCAACTTAACGCCGTTACCGTGGTCAGTAGCGTTTTTGCGTGGTCGCATTTGCTTTTCTTTTTTTTTTTTTCTTTTCTTTTTGCGTGAGCGATGAGATGAGATGCGTCGGCCAGCCATGGCGAAGATCGGTCTCGGTTAAACTGACAATTTTGCTAGAAGCTGTGAAAGACCTCATCTGTCTACTAAATCACCTACGACCGTATCTCTATTTGCAAACTTGCGGCGCAAGCTCTTGCGGCAAGCACGAATCGGAAGCGTTACGAGGCACTGAGTAGGTACGCTTCAGCGTAAAATTTGGAGAGCGCAAAATTTTAATAGGCAGCGCTATTCTCATAAATATAAAGTTCTAGCTTACTTGATATTTTAAATGAATTAACTAAAAGTGAGTTTTCTAGAAATCTTTTCAAATTTAGCAATAGCGTTATAGATCTTATTAACTGTGCCAATGTCTATGGCAACTACAGAGGCATCTTTTTCAAAATTAAAAATAATAAAGAATTATTTGAGAAATAAACACACAATGACGCAGACGTGGTCATGTAATTTAGCTGTGATATCAATTAAAAAAGAATTGGCGAACAGTTTTGACGTAACAGTTAAGACGTAATCAGTCTTAATTACGTAACGATTGAAGACATAATCAGAATATTTTCAAAAACTAAAGCCAGAAAATATAATGGTATGTTGCATTAAGCGTCAAATATATTATTACAAAAGAAAATATTATATAATAAATTTATTGTATTCGTATTCGTGTTATGCAAATTGATGGAAATTCCTATTTTCTTTTTAGTTGCTGTTGGCGGGGGATTGATGCTTAGAGACAATCCTTGTGATTGGGCGCAAAAGCAAAGTTCAGCGTAGGACGCCAAAAGCGGTCGTAACGCCTCCGGCACGAATAATACATGTTATTTACAGCGAAGAATTAAGATCGAGTGATCAGGATCGTACGAGCACCTCACTATCCGAATCGCTACATCCTTCGTTGCGTCAAATTCCACCTTCTCCTGATATCTAGATCCCAGTCATCGATCGATTGAAGCCGGCAGAATCGAGCCGAGTTCAGTTTTCCGTATCGCAGAAACAATAAGATACCGATTTAACAACTTTGCGATTTCTTTTTCTTTTTGCGTGCCCCTATATATGACGTCGAAATCTGAAGTACGAACGAAATTATACTGCCTTCAATTTTTCTCTACTCCATTCGTACTATTCTTTCCTTCTTACACATCATCCCCATTCTTCTCATGCTTTATCTTTTATTCAACCCTTGGAGAATATTGAATACTGTTGTAAAAATATATTAGTAACAACGACAAACATTTACCCTTACAAAATTTAATACTGAAAGATAGTGATCGAACGTTTTTTTTAATGCTTTCCTAGTACAACTGGATCACTGTGCCTGATTGTGCTTTTCAAAGGGTTTTTGGGCTCTAAAAATTCTGAAAAAATTCTAATACACTCTTCTAACATTCAAGAATAGATTTTATAATGATATGACGTTTTATAATGACTAAAACGTTTTTCGCTTTTTTGGTACGTGTCTGAATTTGAGGCAGAATAATTCAAAATTGAAAATTTGCCGGGGTTTTCAAAGCCTCGATTGGACCGTAAAAGGATTTATTTTGAGTATTGGAAGTACTGTTGTTCTTTTACAAAGTGCTTTTAATACTCAGAATAAGTAATTAATCATTACCTTTCAATATTAAATTGACTAGTGTTTAATTTGACTAATGTTGAATTAACCTTCTGTTAGAGGAAAAGCATACTGTGCGTCAACGACAAGATTAGATAACGTGAACTAGT